GAGGAAAATTGAGAAAGCAAGCTGCCAGGTCTGGGACTTGAACAGCAGTCAGCCATGTGGGAGTCCAGCACTTTAACCACCAAGTCACATGCCAGGCCACTCTCTGGCAATTAAAAACCAAATCTCACGGGTCAGCAGGTGGTGTGGAGGTTAAGGCCCTGAATCCCAGATTACTGACAGGGAGGTTCGAGTCAACAGAGGCAGCAGCTTGAAAACCACACTGGGGGGACCAGCAGTTAGCGTAATGGCTATGTCGCTGGACTCCCACGTAGTCGACCGTGGTTCGAGTCCCGGACCCGGTGGCTTAAACTCACGCCGGGCGCCTGTGCGTGCGTGCCCAAGATCCCGGGAGGAGAATGGAGGAGAAGGGATTGCGGCGTGGCCATCCCCCCTGGGGGGTGATTTCCTGCTTTCTATCTCTCTGTCTCTCTCTGTCTGTCTGGCGAGTGCACGCGCCCTATAGCAAAAAAAACCTCTCCAAAAAAAAAAAAAACACACTGGGCGGAGGGGGGGGGGGGAAACAGCAGGTGATGTGATAGTTAAGGGCACAGGACTCCCACACAGCTGATTGCCGTTCAAGTCCCGGACCTGGCAGCTTGCTTGCTTGCTTCTTATCTCTCTCTCGATCCTTCTCTGGTCAAATCTAAATAAATAAATAAAGGTAAATAAAATAATTCTTTAAAAAAAGAAAAGAAAAACCATGCCGTTCGTGAGTGCTCCGAACCCAGAGAGGAGAATAGAGGAGAAGGGATTGCGGGGTGGCCATCTGCCCTGTGTGTGGGGGGGGATTTCTTGCTTTGTCTCTCTCTCTCTGTGTCTCACTCTCCTTGGAGACTGCACACATTAAAAAAATACAGATCAAACGAAAATCGCCCTTCCCCTGATGTGACACAGGGACCTCGAGTTGAGACCCCAGGCTCACCCATCGGTCCTGTCACTTTCTCTATTAACAGCTCCAGCATTCCTTTGGCTCTCCAGCCCTGGGGGGAAAGAGGAGCTTGCGGGAAATCTAAAGGGTGATAAACATTAGAGCTTTGTCCTCAAATTCCCAATGTTGGGGCTGCCTGCCCTGCAATTCTGGGCACCCGGGGTTGGGGGGGAGGCAGGGGAGAGGTTTGCAAAAGATGCCAAGACAAGGAGAGTGTGGTCCCAGCTGGGTCTCAGCTGCCACCCAGAGGAGGGACCACCCAGAGGGAGCAGGGCGGAGGCAGGGCCGGGCCTTCTTCTTGGGGTTTCCCTTGACCTTGGAGAGAGGCCCCTGGAGTGGGGATTCTGAGCTTGGCGCTGGTCTCTCTCTTTCTGGGCCTCTGGCTACGGCCCAGCACATAGTAAGTGCTCAGTTAAGGGGAATTGTCCCCAGCAGTCGGCATAATGGCTATGTCGCTGGACTCCCACATAGCTGACCGCGGTTCGAGTCCTGGACCCGGTGGCTTAAACTCATGCCGGACGCGTGTGCGTGCGTGCCCAAGATCCCGAGAGGAGAATGGAGGAGAAGGGATTGCAGAGTGGCCATCCCCCTGGGGGGGGATTTCTCGCTGTCTCACACATGCCCTATAGCAAAAAAAAAAAAAAAGGTTAATTGTCCCCATCCTGTCCCCAAGGAAGCCTGAATTTCTGGCTCTATTTCTTTCTTTCTTTTTTCCTTTCATTTCTTTACTTTTGCCATAAGGCAGATACCAGAGAGACAGAGAGAGGGAAACTGAGAAATCGCCTCGCAGGGGGGAATGGCCTCCCTGCAATCCCTTCTCCTCCATTCTCCTCTCGGGATTCTGGGGGGGATTCTGGTTACACACGCACACGCAACTCGGTGTGATTTTCTTTTTCTTAAGTAAATAAAAGTATGTATTTAAGTATCATTAAATTATCATTACTGTTATCATTGGTCTGTAATGGCTAGAAGGCACCTGTGCTCACAGGCCGGGGTGAAGTGGGGAGGAGAGAGAAAGCTGCCGGGTCTGGGACTCGAACATTAGTTGGTTTTGTGGGAGTCCAGGTGGCCACCACGGTGCCACCAGCTGGTCCCGCCCCGTCCCCAGCCACGGTGTGATTTTCAGGCCACTGGGTCTGGGACTCAAACCATGGTCAGCCGTGTGGGAATCTAGCCACTTAACCACCATGCCACCTGCTGGCCCCTGGTTTGTTTTTTTGTTTTTGTTTTTTTCTGTTTATTTTTTTGTTTGGGGGAGGGGGCGGGGGTTGCCATAGGACACAGGCCCTGACTGGAGAGAGACAGAGAGAGAGAGAGGGAAAGTGAGAAAGCAGCTCCCCCTCCATGGGACATGGTTGCATCACAAGTCCTCCGTCCTCCTCTCGGGATTTTGGGCACGCACACACACGCACCCAGCGCGCGCGGGTCCGAGACACAAACCACACAGTTGGCCACGTGGCATCGGATCCCTTAACTAGTGGGTCACAGGGCTGGCCTGGGACCAGATGTTTAAAGACAAAGAATACGAAGACCAGCCAGGACACGCGTCAGGCAGACTGTCCCCTGGAACGCATGGAGGTCACGGTGACGCACCTGTGACGGCCACCCCGAAACCTCTCTGTGACTATCCAGCAAGGCTGAAGATACACTCCCGGGTCAGCAGGTGGCATGGAGGTTAGGGCGGCTGGATCCCACACGGCCAGCTGCATAGTTCAAGTCCTGGACCTGGCAGCTTGAGGATCACATCGGGCAGGTGTGCGTTCCCCAAATCCGGAGAGGATGAGGAAACGGGACTGCACCGGGGCCATCCTCCCCCCCGGGGGGGGGTTTCTTATCCTCCTTCTCCCTCCTTCCCTCCCTCCTTCTCTCTCTCTCTCTGCCTCTGGAGAGTGCAAATGCCTTATAACAAACAAACAAAAGGGTACACAAAAAGAAGATACATGGGGCTGGCAGGTGGCGTGCTGGGTAAGGGCGCTGTTCTCCCACATGGCTGACCATGGTTCGAGTCTTGGACCTGGAAGCTTGCTTTCTCACTCTCTCTCTCTCACTCTGTCCCTCTGTGGTCAAATTAAAAAGAAAGAAAGAAAGAAAGAAAGAAAGAGAGAGAGAAAAATAATTCTTTAAAAAATAATGTTATTGGGGGAACCAGCAGTTAGCGTAATGGCTATGTCGCTGGACTCCCACGTAGTCGACCGCGGTTCGCGTCCCGAACCCGGTGGCTTAAAACTCACGCCGGGCGTGTGTGCCCAAGATCCCAAGAGGAGAATGGAGGAGAAGGGATTGCGGCGTGACCATCCCCCCTGGGGGGTGATTTCTCGCTTTCTGTCTCTAATGTCTCTCTCTGTCTGTCTGGCGAGCGCACGCGCCCTATAGTGAAAAATCTCTCCAAAAAATAAAAATAAAAATAAATAAAATAAATAATGTTATTGGGAACCAACAGGTGGCGTGGTGATAAGATTAAGGTGCTGGACACTCCCACATGGCCGTCCATGGTTCGAGTCCCAGACCTGGCGGCTTGCTTTCTCACTTTCCCCCTCTCTTTCTTTCTGTGTTTCTCTGTGGTCGAATTAAAATAAAGGAATGAATAAACAAAATCAAACAAATAATTGAAAAAATTTAAACAATGGTATTAATACACAGAATTACATAAATAATTCTTTAAAAGAGGAGAGATGGAGAAAGATGCTGCCCCGGCAATTGTACTACGAGATGCAGACTCAGGGGACACACAGACCGGAAGTTCACGGCAGCCCTGAGGGGACAGAGCCCAGCGAGACAACCCACAGGCTCATCGCGTGAAGACAGAAAAACACGCAGGCAGTGGGGTACCACACAGCCCGGAAAACGGCCCGCAGGCTGCAGCTCAGGTATCCCGTCCTGACAGCGCCCCGAGTTAAAGAGTTGGCACACGAGGGACCAGCAGTTGGCGTAATGGCTATGTCGCTGGACTCCCACGTAGTCGACCGCAGTTCGAGTCCCAGACCCGGTGGCTTAAACTCACGCCGGGCGCGTGTGCGTGCGTGCCCAAGATCCCGAGAGGAGAATGGAAGGGAAGGGATTGTGGCGTGGCCATCCCCCCTGGGGGGTGATTTCTCACTTTCTGTCTCTCTGTCTCTGTCTTTCTGGCGAGTGCACGCACCCTAGAACAAAAACCTATCCAAAAAAGAAAAAAAAAAATCTGCGTGTTCATGTTTACAGATATACCCACGGGCAGAGCTGCTGAGAGGTGTCTCCCTGAAATCCAGGTGGCACCTTTGGGGTTTGGAAACATGTCACTGTACAACTCACTTTCCCAGGCCCCCCTAGAACAAATCATTATTTCTTTTCTTTTTTTTTTTTTTTTCTTTTTGCTATAGGGCATGCGTGAGAGAGAGAGAGAGAGAGAGAGGTAAAGTGAGAAATCACCCCCAGGGGCGATGGCTGTACCGCAATCCCTTCTCCTCCATTCTCCTCTTGGGATATTCGGCATGCACGCACATGCACCTGGCATGACTCCAAAGCCACCAGGTCCGGGACTCAAACCACAAAGCCGGCCATGTGGATAGAGTGCCTTAACCACCGCGCCACCTGCGCCCCCTTTACTCATTGCTTAACAGGCAAAGAGACCCCCAACAAGGTCGT